ATCCTCTTCTGCTTTCATTTTCCTTGCCACGTCTTCGCCATAATTGACTTTCTTCTTTTTGTCCTAACAATAAAAAGAATCAAACATGTAAAGAAAACAAGCCAAAACAGAACGTTTAAAAATCAGATACTGTAAAAGACTTTATGTACTTTTATACTGTAGGACTGGACCAAACCTTATTCAAACTGCTAAATATGTAAGGTTCCCTTATCTTAGTGGTGCAAGTTAATCTATGAACAGGGCTAAAATACTGGAATCTTTCGCCCAAAACACAAGTGAGAAATGAAGCAGCAGTTGCTGACAAGTATTTTCTGCAGTTTGAATGCATATGCAGAGCAGCTGCATATATGTATGCATAGAAACAGCAGAAACACCCTTTAAAAACAAACCACTGAGAACTCTAAAGCATAACTAAGTAGAAGGTAAATGAAATTGATGTATGCAATTCTGATACTGTGAGCACAGAAACACCCTCGATCCCTTTCACACCCAGCTTATATACCTCATTTATGCCCTTCCAAAAAAAACGATGGCATCTAGAACAGCCAGTGCCATCCTCAGTTCTTTTCCTGGCTGAAAACAAGTAGAGAGGTCTTAAGATAAAAGTTAGCTAGGAAAGAGCAGCACCTGAACTGGAAGACAAGAACACAGGACTATTGATGTTCTCCAAAAATACTCTGGGTTTGCTGGTAAAACACAAGCATGGAGAATATATGATACAAAACACAGCATCAAACAAAGCAAAACAAAACAAATCAAAGTGAATCTGTCAGTAGGGTCTAATATCTTCTTCTCTTAGAAGACAACCATTTTTCCCCAAATGTAACCGCAAGTGAGAGGAAGAATATTCTGTTTCAGTGTGGTGAAAGTGGAAAGAACCAGATTTAGAGGGACAGGGTATTAACTCCTGGGATTAAATAAGAAGGGAAATATGATGGTATGAGCTTCAGTTGAATGGTGCACAAATTAGTTATATTCTGTAAATTACCATATAGCTAAAATGTACCATTCAGCACCTTGTCTTTTCTGGTGTATGTTCAAGAGACTTAGTTTGTTATTTATTTCTGACAAGTTTTCAGAAATGGAAGAGATGTAAACAAACAAAATGGAAGTATAAATAAAACAGCTGGGAAAACACAGGCCACCCCTGCTCTTGGAAACAAGTGGAAGTGGATGCTTCACTGTCCTACAAGGGAAAAGCAGGTTCACAGCACACAGAATCCCACTGGTAACAGATTCCATTTAAAGTTGTCTCATACTCTAGATTTTAAAATGACCATATTGATATTTTATACATTATTCACTTATTAAATCATGCYTATTACACTCTGTCATAATTTTTGATCAAGTTTTATTAATACTGAGTACTAATGTTGATTTGATATATACTCATGTGGTATAAGGAAAGCTAGTGAGGCAGGAATTTATCTAGAAGTGCCTAAATTTAAATCTGAACTCTACAGAACTAACAGAACTACTAACTGCTACTAACAGAACTCTACAAAGTTCAGGTCCTAGCAATTTAGAATAAATATGGAAATTATATAATGAACAATGGTATATGAACTTTATCATCTTCTTGAATACACAAACTACTCTAAAACTACTATCAAGCAGATTTGTCTTGTGAAAGACAAAAGAAGAGTTACTGATCCAACCTAAATCAATTAGCAGGTGTTCATCATCATCACAGAACTTTGAACTTTTCTTTTCTAAGAAGCTTTATTTAATAGCTTAATTTTAGTACCCAGGTCACTCAAGGAGAATTTTCCTGTGCCACAGGTTAATTTCTTCTGAACCTCTGGAAATGGTACATTCTTGCAAAATGCTCTTGTCTGATGCATATTTCCAAGGCTTCTCAAGGAAGATGATCTCATTACTTGGGAAAAGGGGTTCTTGTTTTGTTTCATTTTCAATTGCAGGAAGTGAAAAAAAGAAGCAATCCTAAACCCAAGAGTTTCAATGATCTCCAAAAAATGCTAGATTGTATCTACTGAATTATTTTTTATTTACATTTCTATCTGAATCTCAAGACTGCATTATATGAGGGTGCAATAGAATACAGACAAAAAAATAAAGACAACTAGAAACTCAACATATCATGTGTAAGATCTTTGGAAGATCAAGATAAAAATATTTAAGATAAAATGGTTTCAAGAAATACCATTCAGCACTCTTTAGATCTTGTACTGCCAAAGCTGATAATCTTTCCCCCTGAAAATCTTACAGAAATTATTGAAGGTAAATTAAGACAGGTGGAATGTAATTGAATAAAAAAAGGATAGTACATGACAGCATTGATAGTTCTTCTAGAATTAGTTCCTATAAACCCTCCTGCAACTAGTTCCTACAATTTAATGGATTGGGGAGGTGGGGAAAAATCAGCCACCCTGCAGAAGAGAGAGAAAAGTGGGAATTCTGAGTCAGGCAACCCCCTAAGGTCTGTGCCTCTATTTCACCTTCTGTTACTCACAGCAAGGAAGAGAGCTCTGGGTGCTGATTCCATTTGGGATTAAAAATTCTTATGAGAAAGACTGCAGAAACATAACGTCTATGCACAAAACTACCACAGGAGAAAGAACCCCCCTCCCTCTCCAAATACCAATTCCATTAAGAGATGAAGTAAATGGAATTGAAATTTAGCGAGAAAATAATCCTGCATAATGCTTGCAGGAATCCTGCCTTGCTCTCAGCTCAACAGCTATAAAGATTTCATGTTGGGTGAAAAAGCAAACAGCTCAGCGAGGTCTTTAATTCTGCAGTGGAGAGATTAGCCCCAAACTGGCTCATACATTGGCTGTCATTTCAGCTAAACAAACCCTAATCCAATTACTCTAATATAGGATGTCTAGCAAATCATTACTGTTAAAAGACTAAAACATGTAAGTTATGAAGCACTGAAATTACTTCAGATTCTTTTCTCTCCTGTTAATACTGCACAGATAGAAGATACTTGACTGAAAATATCCAACTCAAAAATACCGGCTATTCATTTAACACAAGTCAGTAAGCAAGCCTAAGGCAACAGGGAAAGAAGGAAAATCCTCTTCAGTTGGGAGCAACCTTTTAGGGTAGAAGAAAACACTGGTTTGGGGATGAGACAGTAGTAGCTAAGGAGAGGCAACTCACAAATAGCTGCCATATTTATTCTGTTAAGGCTGTACTTTAAAACAAAAACTAAGCATCGCCATATTTGTGCTAACGTAAGAGAAGCTGTTTGAAGGCTTTTATCATTCAGGCCAGAATGATCCAGACCTCACAAAAATCATGCATGAGGTTGAGAGTCCACCTCTTGCAACCACAGCRCACAGGTGACTTCTACAGCTTTTAAACCACCAAGGACTTGTACTGTTAGTGCTTAGAGCCTGAAAAAGGCTGCTACGAGCAAGCTGGCCCAGTCAGACCAGCGTTGAGCAGGGGTTTAGACTGGATGGTCTAAATTATTCTATGATTCTATACTTCACTCTGTCTCTCCAGTTGCAAGAGAGATAGATTTTGAGTCACAGTGATGTTAAAAATGAACTAGCAGAGACCAGCTGTAACATATAATCATGACGTTCTTCAAGATGCATTTATTGCAGAAAATCTCTTTATGCTGCTATATTTCTGTAGGCTGTAAACCACAATTTCAGTGGTTTCCTCTTAAGAGCCCTCTGCCCTAGCAGACCTCTCTCCTTAACTGCAATAACTCAATGCATTTCATTCCTTCATTAACCAGAAGAGCTTAGCCTCAAAAGGCACAACCTTCCCTTCAAAGGCAAAAAAAGCCCCATCTTCACGTCTGAAAAGAGCCACTTTGGCATTAAATGTTCTTTTTAAAATGTGGTACCTGCTACAAGAAATCTCTGAATTATTCAGTTTTATCGATTTTGACATTTTTTTCAAAGCCCTGATAGGTGTTTTGTGTGCAGAAAAACCTATATAATAAAGGAAAGTATCTATAAAGTTCAAAATATCTAGTGTACTGGTATTCCCTAGGCTTAAAATATTTCCTAAAATAAGCAACTTAGGAACTCAAGTTTCTATTCACAAATGCAGCTTTGTCCACCTCCTCTCTCCAAAGACAACCTTTTTCTTTTAATTGATTAATGTAAGAGAAGAGTAAATGTCTAAATACTTCTTTTTTATTGTCGCTGGAAATGGGATACTGGGGCCAAAGCAGTTACAAACAGTCCAACCTAGCCCGGGACAAACAAGCCTGACAGGACAAATGCAGAGCTCTGCTCTGGACTACATCCCTTGGAAAGGACTACACCGACACGCACAGAGCAAGGAAATCTGGCCTGAGACGCTTGTTCAAAAGAGCTCCTACGACCTTTTCAGAGATTGTGCTTTCCAGAATACAACAACCTGCAATAAATAAAACCAGCATGTCTTTTCCCGAGAAGCAACATATTTTGTAACGTGAATTGTGTCTCTGTGAGGGTACCTCACACAAGGGCATCTGCAGCCTCCCTGGAATAGGTACTTTCAGCCACCAGCAATCAGGATTATATTCCATTAAGCAGTAAAAGTCAGCTATCCATGTATCAGTTTCTTAAGCCATCCAAACCTAAGTAGTGCTTTCTTAATACATTCCTCATCATGATCAACCAAAAGGAGTCAGATTACTTTGTGAATATTAGAAAAATGCTTAGCTTTGTAGTTTGATGTAGCCACAGCCGCAGTCATCAAAAAGACCCACTGCAATCTTTAAACTTTTGTAAAACGAAGTTTATAAAATTAAGAAGTAAAATGAATTTTCTTCTATTTAGGGAGCTCACGGTGTCGAACCAAAAAACTTTTATGATGTGTGGTACACTGACAACCACAAAAAACATGATACTGATACAAAGTCTCTGGACATATTAAGGACAGAGCTGAGGCAAGGAAATTGTATGAATCATTTGAGACTGGGAATACTTTCCCATTTTGAAATTAATAATTATATTGCCAACCATTAAAAAAAAAAAAGAAAAAGAAAACATAATATAACAGTCTACGAACTAAGACAAACTTACCTCAATGGTGTARGTCTGGTGATGCTTGATAATCTCTCCACTGTGCAAAGTCCTGATTACGGCAAAGTCAGCAGTCGCAGCTGCTCCCCTTCGGCTGCTGCAGGAGGACGTTTCCTCGCCTCGAGACCGATCCGTATCGGGCCCGTCGGGGATGGAGTCGTCATCTTTGATGTTTGTTGTTTTCTTTTTCTTTTTCTGCTTCTTCGAGGCATTCTGCCCATCAGATTGCGCTTTTCGCTGCCTGAACTGGGCAAGCTGCACAGGAGAGAAAATCTTGTTAAGGTGAAAGTTTTCCTCTTCATTACTAACGACACCCATTACACAGGCTTATCAGCTGTTCTACAGAAAGCAATCGCTGCACAAAGCCAGCTCCAGGCTAATGCTGCGTAACTGAAATATCTTCAGATTACTTTTTTCGTTGTTGTTCACATAGTTCGCTTAAAACAAAAATCAAAAAAAAATTTAATTCATTTTAGGTTTCATACTTGCCATCTACTGTTTCTAGGAATTAGACCAGTCACAGGTAAAGGATAAACGTGATGCAGTAACCTCAGCTCTAACTTCCTTACGCAAAAACACATTTCACAGTTTTATAGTAATAAAAGCCTCAACATAAATTTACTGAAGTTAATTTTAACTTTTTGTCCAAAAGCAGAAAAAAAAGGAAACCCTTCCACCACCAAATATCAGACCAAACCTCTTAAAAAGTTTACATTAAAGTGAAGAGAGCATCCCAYGCTACCGAGCCCAGCCTAATGAAAGAGGTACGGTACGTTACAGAACAGTCTTACGAGGGACAGCAAGCGAATGACAAGATGCAGCACCTTGTAGCAAAACATGCTGATGAACAAAAAGTCACAGGTGAGGCAGGCACAGAGTTGAAAAACCAATTAGCATGTAAGCTATTCAAATACTGTAAGACTTTCGAAGAGCTTATTACTTTTAATCACTTTATAGTGGTTTACACAAGAAAATCCATTTAGAATATTTTTGTCTTAGCAAGAACAGAAATTCTGTTCAGATAAGAAAAAGCCTGACAAGTTTTACCGTTTAAAATTAAACAATCCTACCAATAAAATCTGGTAACAGAGAGGAGGATTTTCCGATTTAAAAGTCCAACGCCAAATAAATGCTACACTACATTTTGTAAATATAGCTTTGGAGTAAACAAAAAGCAATCAAATAAAGACATAAAGAGCTGCAGACATGTGAATCCCTCCTCAAACAGCAGGCCGTTTCCAGCATTCCAAGCGGCCGGGAAGGCCGGGAAGCGGGTCGGCTTTGCCCTGGATATTCACCAGTCTGGCGAGCCAGGTTTCCGTGGGCCGCTCCGCGCCGCCCGGCGCCGCCATGGGGCCCTGTCCGCGCTGCTCCGGCTGCCGCCGCCGCTGCCACCCTCCCTGTGCCTCAAGGACCGGCTCCGAGCGAACGGGATCACTCCCCGGGCCCTTCTGATCCCCGGGAGCTTTTGCTTTTGTCCCTTTATTYCTCTTTCTCCACAGGTTTCCTCAGCCTCCTCTCCGCTCTAGGAGAACTGACAGCTCGGCATATGGCTCCTGCCCTGTTTATGGGAGGACCTGGAGATCTGCTGAGGCAAATATGCTCACCTACCCTTTAATGCTTAGTACCTCCCTGTTTCACCCCCAGCCACTTCAATGCAAGGAGGTTTTGCCCCCCCCATTTTTTTAAATATGCAATTTGCATTATTTCACAAAAATCTCAGAGCTTATTGAGTCCAAAAATGCTTAACAGAAAAAAGAAGGTATGTTCTCTTGCCTTCAGTTTTAAGAGAAAAAAAAAATAGATAGATTTACTTTCTAAAAATAGAAAGGGTGAGGGTTCCAAATTGGTCTCCTTACCACAATACCTCCTTTCCTAAAACAGTAAATTTACCTCAATAAAACATTTGTTAATTTATCCAAGAATATTTGCTGTTTGCAACAAACACACAAAAAAAGAGATGACTTGACCCCGAGAGATATTTTATCTTTCTATACCTTTTTATTTTAAAATCATGACAGACATGTCGTGCCATTGGTCAAGAACTCTCTTCTCCAACTTGATGATTGAAACCTTCTGTAATCGAAWGTTAAGTTGGCTTTTTAAAAGCAGCTTTGCTGTCTTTATTTATCTGCAAAATTAGATGTGTAGCTCAAGGACAACTGAATTACTCCACATCTCTCCTGGTGGCTTTTGAAAATTTTAGCTAAGGCATCTGGATATCTCAGATTTCTCTTTCAAAGTTAAGYTACCAATTTTCATTTTTTAAGAATTTACAGATTAAATCCTACTATTTCAATTATACATTGATTTTTTTTCTTTTTCTTTCAAACCTTGCTGAGGAAAGGCATATATGAAAGCTAACTGCCTGTTCAAATTAAACTACGACATTTTCATATAACACAAGTTCTCAACTGAGAGTTTATTTCCAAAATACTAAATGCCCACCGCTAACTGTACTAGTAGCAACCACTGCATACACAAAACAGAAAAGCTCCAAGAAAGATCAAAGATGCAAATACTGGAGGAAGAGGAATGCTCCAAAACTAAGCTTAGACTGGGGGACACAGCACAGGACGCTGCACCAGTCTGTGTACAAGCACCAGCAGGAAGAGACGGGCTGGGAAGGATCAGGATTGCACCGCGCTGTGATGCTGCTTTACCATCAGTTTTCAAACACATGAGAAACTCTCTAGTCCAAGTTCTCTTTGTTCCACAAGCAGCCTGCCCGCAGCAGCTCGTCCAGCATGCTGGCTACGCCTCCAGCTCATCCCAGGATACTCGTACAACCTGTTAACAATTTGGTCTGTTTTTCCCAATAGAACACGGTAGCCACTTTTGCTTCTTATCCTYGACTCTCCTCTTACATATCCAAATAGCTGGTTACTTGCAGTTTGCAGGTCACGGGTTCCCAAGTTCTGCTTACAGTTAAACAAGCAATCCTCTTGGGAACAGAGATGCTTCACAGCAGTTCAGGGGGTCCCCATTTATTCTCTGAATTACTTCTATCAAGTATGCGTACAATTTGTTAACTAGTTATAGTTAAATTAAAGTATTAAGCTAAACTCTGAGAAAGAGACTATATTTCCTGTAACTGCAGGAACTGTGATGTTTATTTTCAGCAGTGCCATTAATGAAATGAGTGGATGTTGGCATGAAATTCTGGMGATGCACAACTCATACTGCCTCTTATAAACAGAAACACATCCCCATCCACAGTCACTCGGCCACAATAGCACCGCATGTGGAATGCAGTAATGAATATAGTTTTGAAATCCACTTTCCAAAGTAAAATAAATAGCACTCAAATATAATGCCTTAGATATTTAGATATTTTGTTTATCTAGTTTTATGCAGATTTATAACCTCTTCCCACTCAAGAATCCTCAAACAAAGTACTAGTGGCAATCCTACATCACATAAGACAGGCACAAGCTGCTTTGGAGAAAATGTTATCTGGATAGAAGGTGAAAGAAAAATAAAAACAAAATGGAAACATTTCACAATGGAGACAATTGAATATTGGAACAGACTGCTCTGAGAAATTGTGGAATCTCCCTCACTGGACAGGACACTATTTAAGGTAAAATAAAACCTGTTTTCAACAGACTGGAACAGCTGAACCTCGGGGGTTCCCTCCAAACTCAACCTGCACAGATATGAGTCAAAAGTGAGCTCATATTCTTTGGCAGGTGTTGCTTGGGGCTTGACATCAACACAGAAGCCACAAACTCAACTGAGAAAGACATCCTACCCTGTGCACAGAGTGAATGCTAAATAGAGACTGATAAAGAGTGAMTGTGGCAAACTGTATCATACAAGTGACAACTGCCATGTGGCCCGGAATCAGTCAGACTTTCACTGCGAGTGCAAGGTGACACTCAGCCCTATCATGAGATTCACTGAAGCTCATAAGCTTCATTTCCTCAAAAGGTACCAAGTACTTTGGCTGAGTTGCCAAAGCACTCGCTCCTGAAGGACAACAGTTTACCGTGCTGTCTACATCTTCCAGGTTTCCGATGCTTACACTGAGATGATGATGATATTAAAGGGGAGATGAAAGGAAGATAATCTAACATAGCGGATGATTAGACCACTGTTTAGAGGTTGATTTAATGTGACACCCAAATCTTTGAAGTATTCTTTCCACTAATCAGATAATAACTCTTTCCAAATTGTAAGATAAAAACTTACAGAAAGATATTAACTGAGGAAACAACTACCAAGCTTGTTCAATTTATTCTGTCCCACTGCTGCAAACTGGGATTGTACAGTAAGCAAAGAAAGGTCCTTGCACAACTTTGAATCTACTTGTCCTTTGATGCAGATGAAGCTTCAGTTTATTTGCTCCTTTCAACAGGAGCTGAATTTACTAAACAGTAAACATTAAAACAAGAAGATAATCACCCAGGAATTAAGCACTTCCAGTCTTCCTGTTATCATGTTGCACTCAGTCATTTTTCCCCCCATGTTACATGTGCAAGACCCTTAAGAGTGCTGCATTAACAGAGAGATTTGATGGGTTCATGAGTGTGGAGGAGGCCAACAACGGAATGAAAGGAGGAGAATCTACAGGTTCTGCCTAAATACAAGCTTGAGAGCCTCAGCTCAAGACATCTGTTCCTTTGCAGGAGTCCGAATAAACCCAAGGGGATCACCACTGGAATACCATGGAAGACAATTCAAGATACAATGAGAGGAACAGCAACTCCCTCCTCCTTTTTAGCAGTTTGCATTAAGCCAGAGAGAACTGTTGTCAACACTATAATCAAGGGCACTGAACTTGAATGAACCCCTCCAGATGGCACAGAGAGCTAGAAAGCCTCTGAATTAGCCTGGTTCTGATCTGACCCAGTCATCTTTGTCCCAAGAATTTAAATGGGAGCAGACCTAGGAAGAGCTAAGTTCATTAGAGCTGTTCTTTTTTTCCTGGATAGACAATGAAATTTAAGTTTATTGAAAATACTCTCAAGTCAGGTTACAATGATCCAGACAAGCACATTGAGAGCATTTCAATACTACCCTGTTACAGGAAAAACAATGACTCGAACTAACAATTAAAAAATGTAGTCTCTTGGTGAACCTACTCCTATGCACATGTTTTTATACTGTTCCTATGCTSTATAACTGCTAGGACAGATATGCAGGGTAAAAAAGCATCCGATTCACACTGACACCTTATTTCACCAGAATAGAGCAAAAATAATGGAATGGATTAGGCCAAGCTGCCAGTG